CCATGAAGCCATGTGCTGGTGGTGGGGCTGATGTAGAAGCCATGAAGCCATGTGCTGGTGGTAAGGCTGACATAGAAGCCATGCAGCAATGTGCCAGCGCGATGGGGCTTATGAAGAAGCCATGAAGCAATCTGCCTGTCTTGGGGTTGATGTTGAAGCCATAAAGCAATGTGTCAGTGGTGGGAATGATAAAAAAAAAGCCATGAAGTGTGGGACTGTAGAGATTTTCTGGCATGCTGAAAAATCTTAAAATGAGCATTCATGTTTTTACTTTTACATAAGAAATGCTGAATTCGGGGGTTAAAGTGAACCTGTTTTTTAAATCTGTATTACAGGTCCCCTTTACAGCTTCTACCGCCAGGCAGGCTGAGTATTACCTCAGGTATGAGGGGGATCACATGACTCCCAACCTTCTCGAAATACAGCATTCCATGCCTCAACAACCAATTTACTGAGTTAGTCTAGTTCTGGCTTGCTTATTAAATGAATACTTACTTGGGAATTTCTGCCATTTGGTAGCAGTTGGGGGTGGTAGACTATGTAAGGTCCATATATCTTCTAGCCATCCAACACTTAGAATAAAACACTTTCACTGAAAGAAAAAAAAACATTGGAAGAAAAATGTAACAAAAACTCACCTTACACCCTGTCCATTGCACTTACCTAGGATTCTTGGAAAGCTGAGTGCTCCAAATCCTGTGAGAACATACTCCTGCACTGTACTGGAGTGGCTTCTCATGAGATTTGGGCTTCTAGGTTTTCCCAGGATCCCATGGTGATACACGGTGACACCACCATGGCCAGGGCCATGGTTCAGTGAGTCTTGTGGGTTGTTCGTTGGGGACCTTTGAGGGTTGTGGTTTGTCCATTAGGGTTCATTGAGGATTGTGGGTTGTCCATTGGGGCCCATTGAGGGTTGTGGGTTGTCTGTTGGGGCACATTGAGATTTGTGGTTTGTGAGTTGTCCATTGGGGCCCATTGAGGTTTGTGGTTGTGGGTTGTCCGTTGGGCCCATTGAGGGTTGTCCATTGGGGCCCATTGAGAGTTGTGGGTTGTCCAATGGGGCGCATTGAGGTTTGTGGTTGTGGGTTGTCCATTGGGGCCCATTGAGGTTTGTGGTTGTGAGTTGTCCATTGGGGCTCATTGAGGTTTGTGGTTGTGGGTTGTATGTTGGGCCCATTGAGGGTTGTTTATTGGGGCCCATTGAGGGTTGTGGGTTGTCCGTTGGGCGCATTGAGGTTTGTGGTTGTGGGTTGTCCATTTGGGCCCATTGAGGTTTGTGGTTGTGAGTTGTCCATTGGGGCCCATTGAGGTTTGTGGTTGTGGGTTGTATGTTGGGCCCATTGAGGGTTGTTTATTGGGGCCCATTGAGGGTTGTGGGTTGTCCGTTGGGGCGCATTGAGGTTTGTGGTTGTGGGTTGTCCATTGGGGCCCATTGAGGTTTGTGGTTGTAGGTTGTCCGTTGGGGCCCATAGAGGGTTGTGGGTTGTCTGTTGCTGCCCATAGAGGGTTGTGGTAATGAGCTCTACAATGCATGGGTTAACGCTTGGTACCCCAATGCAACAGCTCTAAATGCAGTCTACTGCAGTGTTAAAAAATGGGGTCATGCATGTTTTTTCATCCATTGTGGTGCATTGGCAGCCCAGTCATTATAAATGGGCCATTGTAATGCACTGGTTGGTAATATGTGCGGTAACATACAATAACGCACCTCAGTGGTGCAATGTTTAACCCCTTCCCTACCACACTATAGCCAATATATGGCTACAGCATGGCTCTCCAGTTCTAAGAGGGTTCACCCCAGATTCTGGTGCAGAAAAAAATTAGAACATGCTGCATTTTTTCTGCACAGAATGGTGCCGGAACACGGCAAAATCAAAAACGCACCGGAACGGAGCATGGTGTGCACTGTAAGCAAAAACACATCCAGAATGGATTTTTGCGGTGTGAACTGACCCGGAGGGCGTCTCTGGACATCCTCCCATGTGCACGCATTGAATGCGATTTGTGACTGCTGTGTCCCAAGATCACAGATCGAGGTTAAGGGCCAATCACAGCTGTCACAGTGTAAACAGACTCAGTTCCTTTGCTGGTTATCGGCTCTCCTTTCCTCAGAGTTGTGAGGGGCACAGTGAATACACTGATACACAGTGCCCTAATTATCAGTTCAGACCCATCAGAGAAGCTTATCAGTGACGCCTCATCAGTGCCCATCAGAGCAGCCTCATCAGTGCCAATCAGTGCAGCTTATCAGTGCGTGCCCATCAGAGCCCATCAGTGCAGCCTCATCAGTGCCAATCAGTGCAGCTTATCAGTGCAGACCCATCAGAGCCCATCAGTGCAGCTTATCAGTGACGCCCATCATCAGTGCAGACCCATCAGAGCCCATCAGTTATCAGTGACAGCTTACCCATCAGTGCAGACCCATCAATCAGAGCCCAGACCCATCAGAGCCCATCAGTGCAGCTTATCAGTGACATCAGTACCTCATCAGTACCCATCAGTGCCCATCAGTGCAGCCCATCATCATTGTGCCAATCATGCAGCTTATCAGTGCAGACCCATCAGAGCCCATCAGTGCAGCTTATGCAGACCCATCAGTGACAGCCTCATCAGTACCCATCAGACCCATCAGTGCAGCCCATCAGTCATCAGTGAGCCCATCAGTGCAGCTTATCAGTGACGCCTCATCAGTACCCCATCAGAGCCTCATCAGCCTCATCCCATCAGTGCAGCTTACCAGTGCAGCCTCATCAGTGCAGACCCATCAGAGCCCATCAGTGCCCATTAGTGCAGCTTATCAGTGCCACCTCATTAGTACCCATCAGTGCCCATCAGTGCAGACCCATCAGAGCCAATCCAATCAGTGCAGACCCATCAGAGCCCATCATGCATTAGTGCAGCCCATCATCAGTGCCCATCAGTGCATCAGTGCAGCCTCATCAGTGCCCTCATCAGTGCCCATTAGTGCAGACCCATCAGTGCAGTGCCCATTAGTGCAGACCCATCAGAGCCCATCAGTGCAGCTTATCAGTGCCCATTAGTGCAGACCCATCAGAGCCCATCAGTGCAGCTTATCAGTGTAGCCTCATCAGTGCCCATCAGTGAAGAAGAAAAAATTACTTATTTGCAAACTTTTATAACGGAAACCAAGAAAAAGTTTTTTTTTTAAATGTTTTATTTAGCAAAAAATAAAACCCAGTGCTGATTAAATATCACTAAAAGAAAGCTCTATCTGTCTCAAAAAATGATAAAAATTATCATTTAAAGTGTTACTAAACCCCCAACAGTACAATCAGTCTGTAGATGCAGTAAAGCATGCTTGTTATACTCACTGTGGAACCTAAGGGGTTAATCCTCTGCATTGTGTAAAAAGGCTGTCTGAACCTGTCTTCTCTGATCCTCCCCTTCTTCTACTGTCCCCAATCCATCTGCTGATAGAACAGAGCCTTGGTGGCAAGCTGCACATGCTCAGTTTGGTATGTATTGCTAGTTAGTTTTTTTTCTTGGGAGAATGCATGTGATTAGCTCAGGGTCAATCAACAGTGTCCAGACAGAGGGTCAGGGGTTATGCAGCCTCATAGGGTAATCAGGGGAGAATGAAAACGCCTCCTACAAGCTTTAACTAGTGCTCTGCTGGACACTGACAGAAGTCATAAGACTGCTCTATACTGCTGATGAAAAAAGGTATTTAGTAGTTTATATTTACTAAAATAATTGCATTTCCATGTTGTGTGTACTGTGGGAGAGCGGATATAGTGAATGCAGGGTCCGGGAAGACCATATATAGTGAATGCGGGGTCCGGGGAGAGTGGATATAGTGAATGCGGGGTCCGGGGAGTCCGGATATAGTGAATGCAGGGTCCGGGGAGAGCGGATATAGTGAATGCAGGGTCCGGGGAGTCCGGATATAGTGAATGCAGGGTCCGGGGAGAGCGGATATAGTGAATGCACGGTCCGGGGAGAGCAGTGAATGCAGGGTCCGGGGAGAACGGATATAGTGAATGCAGGGTCCGGGGAGTCCGGATATAGTGAATGGAGGGTCCAGGGAGACCGGATATAGTGAATGCAGGGTCCGGGGAGACCGGACATAGTGAATGCAGGGTCCGGGGAGTCCGGATATAGTGAATGCAGGGTCCAGGGAGACCGGATATAGTGAATGCAGGGTCCGGGGAGACCAGATATAGTGAATGCACGGTCCGGGGAGAACGGATATAGTGAATGCGGGGTCCGGCGTGACCAGATATAGTGAATGCAGGGTCCGGGGAGAGCGGATATAGTGAATGCAGGGTCCGGGGAGAGCGGATATAGTGAATGCACGGTCCGGGGAGAGCAGTAAATGCAGGGTCCGGGGAGAACGGATATAGTGAATGCAGGGTCCGGGGAGTCCGGATATAGTGAATGCAGGGTCCAGGGAGACCGGATATAGTGAATGCAGGGTCCGGGGAGACCGGACGTAGTGAATGCAGGGTCCGGGGAGTCCGGATATAGTGAATGCAGGGTCCGGGGAGACCGGATATAGTGAATGCAGGGTCCGGGGAGACCAGATATAGTGAATGCAGGGTCCGGGGAGACCAGCTATAGTGAATGCAGGGTCCGGGGAGAGACCAGATATAGTGAATGCAGGGTCCGGGGAGAGCGGATATAGTGAATGCAGGGTCCGGGGAGAGCGGATATAGTGAATGCAGGGTCTGGGGAGACAGTATATAGTGAATGCGGGGTCCGGGGAGACCAGATATAGTGAATGCACGGTCCGGGGGAGAACGGATATAGTGAATGCGGGGTCCGGCGTGACCAGATATAGTGAATGCAGGGTCCGGGGAGAGCGGATATAGTGAATGCAGGGTCCGGGGAGAGCGGATATAGTGAATGCACGGTCCGGGGAGAGCAGTAAATGCAGGGTCCGGGGGGAGAACGGATATAGTGAATGCAGGGTCCGGGGAGTCCGGATATAGTGAATGCAGGGTCCAGGGAGACCGGATATAGTGAATGCAAGGTCCGGGAGACCGGACATAGTGAATGCAGGGTCCGGGGAGTCCGGATATAGTGAATGCAGGGTCCGGGGAGACCGGATATAGTGAATGCAGGGTCTGGGGAGACCAGATATAGTGAATGCAGGGTCCGGGAGACCAGGTATAGTGAATGCAGGGTCCGGGGAGACCAGATATAGTGAATGCAGGGTCCGGGGAGAGCGGATATAGTGAATGCAGGGTCCGGGGAGAGCGGATAGTAGTGAATGCAGGGTCCGGGGAGACAGTATATAGTGAATGCGGGGTCCGGGAGAGCGGATATAGTGAATGCGGGGTCCGGGGGAGACCGTATATAGTGAATGCGGGTCCGGGGAGAGCGGATATAGTGAATGCAATGCGGGTCCGGGGAGACCAGGTATAGTGAATGCAGGGTCCAGGGAGAGCGGATATAGTGAATGCAGGGTCCGGGGAGAGAGCGGAAGGATATAGTGAATGCAGGGTCCGGGGAGACCGGATATAGTGAATGCAGGGTCCGAGGAGAGAGGATATAGTGAATGCAGGGTCCAGGGAGAGAGGATATAGTGAATGCAGGGTCCAGGGGAGAGAGGATATAGTGAATGCGGGGTCCGGGAGAGAGGATATAGTGAATGCAGGGTCCGAGGAGAGAGGATATAGTGAATGCAGGGTCCGGGAAGACCGGATATAGTGAATGCGGGGTCCGGGAGAGCGGATATAGTAAATGCAGGGTCCGGGGAGACCAGATATAGTGAATGCAGGGTCCGGGGAGAGCGGATATAGTAAATGCAGGGTCCGGGGTTTAGTAACAACTTACAGTGCAGTACAGTGTTGCATTGTCATTGGAAGTGCGACAGTGCCGAAATCTGAAAATTGGCTTGGGCAGAAGGGGGTGAAAGTGCCCGATATTAATGTGGTTAAAGCGACACAATATTCTTGTTCTCCAAATATAATCAATTCACATCTACTGCATAGTGGCCCCATTATTTATTTTTTTCATTACATTTCTTACTGTGTTTTTCTCCCTCCTTGTAATGTCCCCTGTGAGTTCACGGCCTCTCCTTCCCCCCCCACTTTTGTTTGGAAATGAGAAGTGCACATTAGTTGCAGTCACACTTGTACGAATTGTCATGCGACTTTGGGGTTGCAAAGTTCCTTGACAAGTCACACCCCATGTTTCCCAACGAGTACCACTTTGGCATATCTAAGAGAGACTTAAAATCACTACTTTGGTCCGACTTTCATGTGACTTGAGGGCCATAGACTTCAATGTAAACCCTCCAAAGATGCATGAAAGTCACACCTGAATGTTAAATGTATGACTTGGGTGCGACTTTGTACACCACAAACAATCATCCTTGGTCAAAGCCCAAAGTCGCACTCATCCAAAGTCGCGTCATGTTGCACTACTTCTTGTGAGCAGATACCTGTACAGAGCACATCCCGGAGTGAGGCCTTAGGTGCTGCAAACTGATATAGTGAATGCAGGGTAAGGGGATCCTTAAGGTAAGGGGAAGGGGATCCTTAACGGTTTGTGACCAGACCAGGCTTATCCGGTTCTAAAGACTTCCAGCAGACATCGTTGAGATTTACATATACATATATGCGCATAAAGGTTGCGCATCTGGTGAGTGCGTATTCCTAACAATTTCACGGCACGTCACCAGGATGTTGTAAGGAGCACTTATCTGAGATCCTCTCAGATGGATCATCACTTCTAAGCACTTTATATGAAAATCATACAAAGTTGCACAAGTGTGAACGGAGCCTAAGAATAACTAGATGGTCCATAGTCCACCTCGGGAAGGAATAAGATAGAGGGTGGCTACGTTCCTACATACAGAGGGACCATGGAGAACGAATGTAGCCACCCTCAAACAGGAAGTCAGATCACAGCACCAATAAAAGGAATGCAGAGATCTGGAGGAGACTGAGAACAATGGAAGGGACTTTTCTGAGTTAAGAATACCAGCTAGAACAGCGTTTTGTGTCACTTTAAGTGGAATGGGCGCAAAGCGATCAAAAGGAAGAGCGTTTGATCAACATTTTATTTTGCATTTTTTGCGTACGAGCATACCCTTCATGAATACGTGCTTTAGCACGAAACGCATCTAGGAGGAGCCGTGCGCAGTGACACCTTTGCCGCCGTGACCGCGTGGAGGTCCGGTGGCCATCTTAGCATTTCACATGGTCAGTGTTTTACTTGTTTTTGCTTACATTCAATAAATATTGCTTGGAAATTCTGCACTATGGGCTTCCTTCTTTTTGGCTCCTTGTGAGTGGATACCTGTACAGATCCCATCCCGGAGTGAGGCCTTAGGTGCTGCAAACTGCCCAGGGGAAGGGGATCCTTAATGGTTTGTGACCAGGCCAGACTGATCCGGTTCTAAAGGAGACTTCCAGCAGACATCTTTGAGATTTACATATACGCGCATAAAGGTTGCGCATCTGGTGAGTGCGTATTCCTAACAATTTCACGGGTCTGAGACCCTCTCAGATGGATCATCACTTCTAAGCACTTTATATGAACTGTTTTTAGGACTGTGTATGATTATGAACACCTAGCACATTGATAGTGTTCACCAATATCACCTTTATCCTTGCATTGTGCACATTTGTCACTTTATATCCATATTGGGTTTATTATTATTATTTATTATGTATGCATATATTTCAAATTTGATTTTTTGGATTCCAGCACCGCCCTCTTTTGTTTTTATTGACTATTTTATTTTACATTCTTCTGCTTTTTATTTTTTAACATGTTTTTTTATTTGTGGGTCCCCAAGGTCTGATTTAAAGTCAGGACAGCCAATGAGATCTGTCCATCCGTGTCCCCTCTGTCCGCTGCCCCCTTCTATGGTGCAGATCCTGGTTTTCTGTGTCACCCACATCCAGTAATTCTGCAGTCACAGCCGTTTAGGAATGCAAGTCATGTTCCTGAAGACGATCCCCCTGGGACAGGGATGGATATCATTCCACCATCTCGTGTGACCATTGTCCCTCGCGCTCTGCACAGGCTGATGTCACGGCGAGCGCTGAGAACGTGAAACGCATGGAGCCAAATGTGCCATCTGATCCGGTGGCCCCGGTGACGTCTGTTGTCATGTATACATCTATGTCATGTAGTATGTGCTCAGGTGACACAGTCTGGGGATTAGGAGGTCACATCTCTCATCCCAGATTTAAACTCATATGATGGAGCTTATTCGCTTTATTTTATTTTTAGCTAGAACCAGGGGCGGACTGACAACTCATGGGGCCCCCGGGGAATAGGGGATCATCGGGCCCCCGTGTCCTTGCCCAAACTCAAAAAAGCCTATGAAAAAGGTACCAGGGGCATCTCATGGGGCCCCCTACTGATCCCGGGTCCTTGGGCAGTGCCCGAGTTTCCAAATGGTCAGTCCGCCCCTGGTGAGAACCTTGTTTCTTTCTTTAATTATCAAAATGTGCCACGCTTCACTTAAAATTGCTCAAAATAAAGAATATGTGCATCCAATAGCTACTAATTATAATGCATATCAAAATAAATAAATAAACGACTCAATCAATAGCAATTTCCAAAAGCAATGTCCATATAATTGCCAAAAACAGTCAAAAAAGGGGGGGTCCATGTATGAACTTCTTCAAACGTGCATAGTTCACTGTAGAATAAAATATCCCGCGCTTCTTAACCGCCTCCCACCCGCCATATAAGGTAATGACGGGCGCAAGGCGGTTCTCTCGTTCTGGGAGGACGTCATATGACGTCCTCCAACTCTAACTGTGTGTGCGCACCCCTGGGGCGCACAGCATGGTGATCGGTGGTGTGCGCTGTTACCCTGGGACACAGCGGATTACCGATCAACGGAAAGAGCCGATGATGTTGGCTCTGTCATGTGATCAGCTGTGTCCAATCACAGCTGATCGCATGTAAATAGGGAAATGTCGGTTATCGGCATTTCTCTCCTCATGAGCTGTCACGCTGACAGAGGAGAGGAGAGGAGAGCCGGCATTCCTCAGAGGGGACATCTACACTGATCATCAGGGCACTAATGATCAGTGTAGCCCCAGCAGTGCCACCTGTCATTGTCCATCAGTGCCTACCAATGCACATCAATGCCATATATCAGTGCCAAGGGGCGGACTGACAACTCATGGGGCCCCCAGGCAATAGGGGATCATAGGGGCCCTGTGTCCTTGCCCAAACTCAAAAAAGCCTATGAAAAAGGTACCAGGGGGCACCTCTGGGTGCCCCTTACTGCCCCCGGGCCCTCAATAGGGAATCATGGGGCCCCTGTGTCCTTGCCCAAACTCAAAAAAGCCTATGAAAAAGGTACCAGGGGCACCTCATGGGGCCCCCTACTGACCCCAGGCCCTCGGGCAGTGTCCGAGTTTCCAAATGGTCAGTCCACCCCTGATCAGTGCCCATCTGAGCTGCCTTTCAGTGCTGCCTAACAGTGCCAGTCAGTGCTGCCTATCAGTGCCATAAATGAGTGCTGCCTTTCAGTGCCCACCAGTGATGTCTGTCAATGCCCATCAGTGCCACCTACCAGTACCTCATCATCAGTGCCCATCAGTGCCATCTATCATAGTGGCCCTTTACCATGTGATCAGATGTGTTCAATTAGAGCTGATCATAAGTAAACAGATTTGCCGGTTATTGGCTTTTCTTTTCCTCAGCGCTGTTACAGCTTAGAGAAAATGGAAAGCAGATAACCAGCAATCCTGTACAGTGCTTTGTTTTACATTTGATAGTCAGGACACTGATGATCAGTGCAGCCCCAGCAGTGCTATCAGTGCAGCTTATCAGTGCCAATCAGTTCCCACCAGTGCATCCTATTAGTGCCCTTCAGTGCTGCGTAGCAGTGCCCTATCAATTCTATCTATCAGTGCCCCCTTATCAGTGCTCATCAGAAAAGCTTATCAGTCCCACCTCATCAGTGCACATCAGTACAGCCTCATTAGTACCCATTAGTGCAGCCTCACCAGTGTCCATCAGGTGCAGCCTATCAGTGCCCATCACTGCAGCCTCATTAGTTGCACATCAGTGAAGGAGAAAAACCACATATTTACAATATTTTATAAGAGAAAAACTAAGAAAAAACTTTTTTTTTCAAAATTGTCAGTGTTTTTGGTTTGTTTAGCAAAAAAAAAAAAAACCGAGAGGTGATTAAATACCGCCAAAAGAAAGCTCTATCTGTCTCAAAACAAATGATAACATTTTCATATGAGTACAGTGGTTGCATGACCGCGCAATTGTCATTCAAAGTGTGACAGCGCTGAAAAGCTGAAAAAATTGGTCTGGTAAGGAAGGGGGTAGAATTGCCCGGTAGGCAAGTGGTTGATTGAATTTTTTTGTGTGTGAAAAAAACTTGTATTAGTGTGTCCCCCACCAGTTGTACTCCCCTCAAGTATCTGACCCAGACTGTTAAGGTCATATAACGCTTGTATCCCTTTAAATGGGCCAAAAGTATGGGATGGGTGGTATCTTGCTGTTTGGGGTCCTCCCTCCACTCAATCGATGGGCTCCC